CATAAATTGACAGTTGTCCTATTAGTACTGTTATAATATTTTTGATCAACATATATAAGTAAAAGTTTTCTATATAAACTGGAAGCCTAGGCTTTACCCCAAGAGAACACACACACAGTCCTACTTCCCTAAACCCCTTTTGATTCAGAGTAAAGCCTTCCCTTGATCAATCGGAGAGCCTTGTGTGCATTTCCAATTAGTATATATTTCATTTTTCGCTTTATGGGGAAGCCTTACTTTGATGCAACTGCAAGTGGCAGCTGCTGCACAAAAAGAGATTAGGAATATGGAAATGGTTTTCAATGCAAATGGGGCAAAATTTTTATTTCTACAGCTGCGGCCTCTAATTGGAGTAGTCGCAAAGTTGGACGGACGCAAAAGCAGCTTTATGAAAATCAATAAAATCGAAAACTAGCCAAAGTAACAACCACCACAAAACACACACAAGCACACACACACACACAGAGGGGCACACGCATGCACAGTGGGCATGGCACATGAGGTTTTTTCTACCGGAAATGTGTGCGCGCTCACGGCCTGTGCCCGTGCCCGTGCCTGGGCCAGGAGCGCAAACCTGGCCAGGAATGCGGGTGGGCGGAGAGGGGGGGGGAGGGAACACAGTATGAATGGGCAAACCGGAAAACGCTGGCGCAGCTTTCAGCGAGTGCGAAACAACCACCGCTGCGAAAAGTTGCCGCCGCTTTACGGAACGAAACAATGTTTTGTTGTTGCCCAGCCGGATGTGCACTGAAGTGCCACAGACCAGGGGAGCTGCGGCGAGGAGGGGTGAGGGGCGGGGCAGCAACAGCAAAAAGCAAACAATGCAAAATGTTTGGAGAGCAGCAGCAGCGCGTCCAACGTGCGAATCGAGTCCCGTGTGTGTGTGTGTGCGACCTGTCCTAATCCCATAAATCTAATTGAACCGCCCAACTAGCTTTTGGGTTAGCCGGTCACAGGGCAGCTTAGCCCCTTTACCTCCCTCCCGCCCCTCCGCTCGCCAGCTGACCATTAAACGCGACTGCAACTTTTCTTAACGACATAAATTAAAAAGTTTTTCCACTGTCCGCCAAAAAGGAAAAACAATTGAACAATGCAACGTGCAGCAACAAGAGTTCTCTAGTCTGGGCAGTCCGCTTAGCAGATACCCTGTAAAAAGGCATACACATACAGATATACTCAAACTTAAGCCGTGCTTCTTCTTATCCTAGTCCCTCTCTATGAGAAATGCATTCTTGAATAACTCGGCCAATTACTGTCCGATACTAATGAAAATCTCAGGTATCAAAGGTGGCATCTAAATGTATTGAAGTATCTAAGCCTGAGGAGATTCCTTTAAAAATAAGTTTTTGAAGGTTTTTTTAAGACATAGCCGAATAAGGTATCCAAAAAGTGAAATGTTCTCGATCTACAGATACTATACGAGAGTATATAAACTATTTTAAGGAACACCAGCTCCTAAAAGGTCCGAGATATGCAGGAATTCGATATCGATTTATCGATTTTATAAAAATGTACGTTATAGCTGATTTGATACTAATTTATTCTACACAGTCAATAGAAACTACGTCCAACATTGCAAAACTCTATTGCTTATGGTCTCTAAAGTCGACACGGACAGACAGACAAACGGACATGGCCAGATCTACCCGTTTGTTTATCCGAGGCAAGAATATATAAGCTTTATGCGGTCGCAGATGCTTTCTTCTGCCTGTTACATACATATACTCAAAACCCTTATACCCCGCTTTGCCATTTTCAAATGAATCTAGGGTATGAGCGAAACAAAACAACCCGCAGTTGTTGTCCTGCCGCATTCTGCTGCACTTTATGTTGGCCACCTGTCAAGCGTGGCAAAAAAAAACAACTTCAAATTGCCATAAAATAAAAACTTTGAAGCTTTTGCTCTGGCCAAATGGGCGTGGCGTGCCGGGTCAACTGCAACAACAACAACAACAACAACAACGTACGGGGACAAGAAGTTGGACGTCCATTAACCGGATTGATGATGCGCCCGAAGCACCATCTGAATTGTGTCAATTGTGTGCGGGCAGGCGACGACAATGGCCAAGAGGGGGATGGGCGAAGGGGGGAGGAGAAGCTGGAGCAACATTTACTGCAGCACTTCTTGCAAAAGATGAAAAGCGAGAAAAACTCAGTAAATGAGATGTATTGTTCGGTAGACTTCAAAAAAAAAAAATATAGATGATAAAAAATGGTTCTGTATTAAAGAGAACGTTTCGATTATTTGTGAATTGCGAAAGAAAAACAAATTAAACTACATTCTGATTAAAACCGCAAAGAATTCTGTGGAATTGGAGCTCATGACAAGTCCAAGAAAAAGTTCTACAAAAGAATAATCCACGGTTAAAACTATCGAGAACTATAAGAGTTCGACTTATTATGAGAGGTTAAGAGCGAAGAATTCTTTGAAATTAGATCTTATGCAAAGTCCAAGAAAAAGTTCTACAAAAGAAAAATCGACGTTTAAAACTATCGATAACTATAAGAGATCGATTGAGTTAAGAGTTAAGATAGTTAAACAAATTTCCCGACTTTAGTAATGGAAAGTATTCAGAAATCTTTCACATTTTTAAAAGGCATCTATCATAATGTGACCGATCGATTATATAAGTTTCCAAATTATCGACAGTTCTGATTAGGTTCATCATCGCGCTCATCTCTTTGCAGGTTGCCTTCCATTATGTGAGGTTAAGAGCGATCGATGGATTATAAAAATTGCCAATTTATCGATGGTTTGGATTAGGCTCACATTTATCGATAGTTTGGATTAGGTTCACATTTATCGATAGTTTGGATAAGGTTCACATTTTGCAACGTCTCACGCACTTATCTCTTTGCAAGTTGTTTTCCATTATGTGAGGTTAAGAGCGATCGATCGATAATATAAATTGCCAATTTTTCGATAGTTTGGATTAGGGTCACGCCTCACGCGCCCATCCATTTGCAAATTACAAGCTGCTTTTCATTATGTGAGGTTAAGAGCGATCGATCGGGATATAAATTGCCAATTTATCGATAGTTTGGATTAGGGTCACGCCTCACGCGCTCATCTCTCTTTGCAAGTTGCAAGTTGCCTTCCATTCTCGCCGGCTTTCCACACTTGCCGCTTGCCTCTGCTTGCCACGCACTTTCAATTTTCTTATCAATAAAAGATGCTGCTGCTTCGGTTGCTCGTTTCCATTGTGTGTCTTGTAAGTGGGCGACGTTGAGAGCTGCACATAAAAATCAAGTGAGAGTGGTCCAATTAGGTTTGCGCGACTGAAAGATACCCTGTACATAGCACAACTTGGTGTCAGGACTTTAAATCTTCAGGACACGTGTGTTAAAGGAGCTTTAAATCGACATGTATTGCCTTTTGGGGCTATGAATTGAATTGGATGGATAGAATATAATACATATCTATTTCTAATTGGACATTTCTAGCTCTTATAGTCATTAATATAAACTGGTTTATGCTTATCGATAAGATAGATTACCACGTCTTTATGTCTCCGACCTCCACCTATTACAAAACGAATATGCCCTTTTTTAACGCATTTTCAATGGGTATAGGGTATATAAAAATACAAAGGCCGCAGCCGCAGACGCAGCTCGAACAATTGAATTTTCTACTTCTGCTGATGCTGCCACTTCAGCTACTTTTTCACTATTTAACAGTTGGTTGTTGTTGTTGTTGTTGTTGTTGTTTTTGTATTTGTTGTCGTCGCCTCCTTCGCTCGCATTTGCCGTAATTTCGCCATTTGCCTTTGTGAGTCGTTCAATCGTAAGCGCTTTGTGCGCGCAAAATGAAAATAATCAAAACGAAAGAAGAAGAAGCAGCATCATCAGAGATCTTCAACAAGTTTGCCGTTAGTCGAGAGTTAAGCAGATTTACCGTTTGCCCATTTCGCAAAAGCCAAAAGGCATAATTGCCAAGTGCAGCACTCGAAGCGAACTCCATGCGCCGCACTTTGCTTTGAACTGCCCAAAAAAAAGGGTTGCCCCCCCCCCCCCCCCCCCCTGTATCTATGTCGTTACGAAAGGAAGGCAAATGGAAAGAGAAGTGGCAAAAGGCAAATAGCCGGCCATCAAAAAGCGCCAGCAACAACAAACTGTGGAAGTTGTCATCGCATTGTAGAACGTGTTAATGAAAATTTTTATTTTTGACTGCACGTTGGAAGGAGAGGGGGGGGGCTGTATAAGCACCGCAAGATAAGCTACAAAAATAGTATAACAAAAAATTGTGGCTTGAACTTCAAACGGCGACGATGCTGCGCTGGGACAATAAACAGGCCAAAGAGAAATGTAAATAAATAAATGCGGCAAAGCAAAGCACCAACAAAAATAGTACAACAACTGAGCCGAAGAGTGTGAGCGACGAGAGAGGCAGAACGCGAGAGTCAGCAGCAGCTGCATGTGTTGCTCTTGCTCTCGCTCCCTCTCCCTCTCTCGCTCACTCTGCCTTATGGTATTCCACGCGCAGACGTCGACAGCTGGTTGCCGGACTGGTTTGGTTTGGTCCTCGAGCTAAATTACAGACAATTACAAGCAGCCGCAACAACAACAACAACAACGACAACAACAACATTGCTCTTTGACTTTTTAAAACGCACAACAGCAGCGGCAATAAAATGGGATTTGCTTTTATCAGCAGCAGCAGCAGCGCCAGCGCAAATAGAAAATGCAGCGGCAGAGCATAGCTGCGCTCTCTCTCTCTTTCTCTCCCTCTCTCGCTCAGCATAAACTTACATTAATTTGTTGTTGTTGCCAGATTGGTATTTTTTTATGTTTAGTTATTTGGCTGATGCGTTCATTGGCTTTTGTAACGGCACTTTGTAGTGTCGAGTCAGGCAATGATGCATTTTTGTGCCACTTTACGAACGATGCGTTGGCCACACTCACACACACACTCACACACGCACACAATAACAAGGAGCAAACAAGTTACCAGGGCAGCAATGAGCTGAAAATAGCTAAATCTAAAGTGTGGCAGCACTTACCTTTAATTTAAATTAGCTGGAATATTTTTTATTGAATAGCCAGCGGCTTAGCCGCGCGTTTTTACAGTTACAGCTATAAAATGCAGTTGCCGCCAGCGTCGCGTTTTGTTGTTTTGTTTCACGGTCGTTACTGGACTGTAGGCAAAAATAAACAACAAAAAAACCATAAACTATTTAGCTTTGCGGTTTGCCGAAATTGCGCTAATTGGAAAGCGAAGGAGATGCACAAGAGAGAGACTGAGAGAACAAAAACTATAATTAAACACGTACGCGGAGGGGGGAACGCTGCTTGGCAGATAAATAACAGCAAAAAATATCCTGCGGGCGCATTGAGAAAAAGGAAATTTATCGTGATAAAAACGGAAGGCAACAAAAAAGTAACAGAAACTTTCAGCGCGAGGCGTTGGTCGCGGGGGCGGCAGAGACGTCTGCTGCGGCAGTCGGTAAAAATTCAAAAAGAGATAAGAGAGAGAGCGAGAGGCAAAGAGGAAACACTGAAGTTGGCGGCGGCATCTGCACTGCGCAGGATATTTCAGACGGTTATCATATATTTTTATTTATTTTAATTAATTTTCATCATCACAGAAAAGCGGGCGCGTTCATTTCTTTTCTTTTTCGCTTCTTTTTTTTTGTTACTCCGCTTCGACACTTTATTTCAGTTTTCCCCACTTCTTTTGCGCTGGCGTGTTCATGTGTGTGTGTGTTCGTGTGTGTGCGCTGGCGAGTGTGTTGCTCTGTTTGTGTTTCCACTGCAACTCCCGTTGCTGCTGTTTTACTTGCTGTTTGCTTTGCTTGGAAACTGAAACTTCTTTCTCTTTTACACACACACATTCACACGTAAACACACACACAACACACGCACGCATACAAACAGAACGGCGCACAAACAACTCACTTAAAAAACTTACGCGTTACTTTGCGCTAGCTTCCTTTGAATTCAACTGCAATTTGCACTACAGATACGATTTTCATTCAATATTTTTGCACTTTAGTTTTGAGTTTAATTCTTATTTTTCACCGACAAGAGACGGAAAACACCGACCGACATAGCCTCGCACAGATAACGCGTCCAACTCGTTCAACGGTTTTTTTTCTACTAAAAGAAGTTTTCTCTCCCGCTCACACAACCAAAAAAAAAACCATGGCTCGCGCAATGTGGCCGTTGCCACTTAAGGTAAAATTACAGAAAACCAGCGAAATATTAATGTTTTAAAAATACAGTACTGTATGTAGGACTTATTGTTATAACTGTTATTGTTTAAATTATTTTGAGCATTATAAAAACATATTTTATACGAATACATGATCATAGATTGCACTGCAAAAAATACCAAATAATTTTGGCGCATTTTAGTGCATTACCGTCATCTGGCAATTCTTCTTACAGAGTGGCAACGCTATATAGTGTGGTTGCCACACAGCAAATATCATACCACATCGTTTTCTTGCAGTGCGCGGCCGTGTTTCTTCTCTCGCTAATTCAAAGAAAAGTATAACCAAGCCGCTAAAAGACAAATAAAATTATTGCTAAAATCGCTGCTTTAAGGCAAATCGCATAAAAACCATCAGCGCCGCGTCTTACGACCGACCGGCAGTCCAGCAGCAGCAGTGACAATGCAGTCCCATAGCAAAAAGCGCGTTTGCTATTATTACGACAGTAAGTTGGCTTTTAAATAACATCAAATGCAATAAATGCAAGAAACGATGCACCATGCAGCAATTGGATGCATTTGCGGCCTCCAAAGCAGCCGAAAATGGTCGACGGCGGCGTTCATTCGGCATTTTTGTGAATTTCAATTTTTACAGCGACTGTACCAGCATTTTGGCACACAGCGCACTTTGCGCTAACGACCGCAACGCATGCGACTCTGTTGGCGGTGGTGGTGATGGTGGTGTGTGCGTGCGTGCCAGTGTGCATGAGTGTGTGTGTACCTGTAGGTCTTTGTTTGGTATAGCGAAAGTGCGCCGCCGGTCGTTTGCGTCAAAGTGCGCTGTGCGTGTAGACGCCTCGCCGGCACTGGCAATAAAATTTTCGTTTTGCAGAGCGTGGCGCAAAATGGTTTTTTTCTTTTACATATACCCTGTTCAGAGGGGGATTAAGGGCATATGTGTTTTGTGGAATGTTTGAAGCAGGTTGCTTAAAAATTGAGTTCTATTTAGTAGCGTAAAAGCAAGGTAAATGAAGGATTGGTTATTTTTGGACACGCCCACCAGGTTGGAAGGGGGAGGTAATATGTACAAATCTCTATTTTTCACAGTTTTAGCGGGGGCTTAATAACTTGGCTAGCAGACAGACAATAAACAATAATCTGATAAGAAAGTGGAAGCTTTTTGTGTAATTTGTAGCTGAATAGAGCAGTCGGTTTCCAGACAGTTTGAAAGTGAACAGAGTATTGAGCAGTCGGCTTCCAGACAGTTTGAAAGCCACTGCCGCTGGCTAACAGTTTAACAGTCCACAAATAAATAAGCACCAAGGAAATCTTCTAAAAATCGTTAGCTCTTATCTGGAATAGAGTATTGTGCAGTCGGCTACAACTGATCTGCTTAACTGTTCCACAGGTGACATTGGCAACTACTACTATGGCCAGGGCCATCCCATGAAGCCGCACCGCATACGCATGACGCACAACCTGCTGCTGAACTATGGACTCTACCGCAAGATGGAGATTTACGTAAGTTGCGAACCGATCCGCAAATTGGAAATGCAATTCATTCCCCCCCTTTACAGCGACCGCACAAAGCCACTGCCGACGAGATGACCAAGTTCCATTCGGATGAGTATGTGAGATTCTTGCGCTCGATACGACCGGATAATATGACGGAGTACAACAAACAGATGCAGCGCTTCAATGTGGGCGAAGATTGTCCCGTCTTTGATGGCCTCTACGAGTTCTGTCAGCTGTCCGCCGGCGGCTCGGTGGCCGCCGCTGTTAAGCTGAACAAACAGGCCTCGGAGATCTGCATCAATTGGGGCGGCGGGCTGCATCATGCCAAGAAATCGGAGGCATCCGGCTTTTGCTATGTCAACGACATCGTTCTGGGCATTCTGGAGCTCTTGAAGTATCATCAGCGCGTGCTCTACATCGATATCGATGTGCATCATGGCGACGGTGTCGAGGAGGCATTCTATACGACGGATCGCGTCATGACTGTCAGCTTCCACAAGTACGGCGAATACTTTCCGGGCACGGGCGATCTGCGGGACATTGGCGCCGGCAAGGGCAAATACTATGCCGTGAATATACCGCTGCGCGACGGCATGGACGACGATGCGTACGAGAGCATCTTTGTGCCCATCATTTCCAAGGTGATGGAGACATTCCAGCCGGCGGCCGTGGTGCTGCAATGCGGCGCAGACTCCTTGACGGGCGATCGTCTCGGCTGCTTCAATCTGACGGTCAAGGGGCACGGCAAGTGCGTGGAGTTTGTCAAAAAGTATAATCTGCCCTTCCTCATGGTCGGCGGCGGCGGCTACACCATACGCAACGTCTCCCGCTGCTGGACGTACGAGACGTCCGTGGCCCTGGCCGTGGAAATAGCCAACGAGCTGCCGTACAACGATTACTTCGAGTACTTTGGGCCCGACTTTAAGCTGCATATCAGCCCGAGCAACATGACCAATCAGAATACGGCCGAGTATCTGGAGAAGATCAAGAGTCGTCTGTTCGAGAATTTGCGCATGTTGCCGCATGCGCCGGGCGTACAGATTCAGGCGATACCCGAGGATGCCATCAACGATGAGTCCGAGGATGAGGACAAGGTCGACAAGGATGAGCGTCTGCCGCAGAGCGACAAGGATAAGCGCATTGTGCCCGAGAACGAGTACTCCGACTCCGAGGACGAGGGCGAGGCTGGCCGCCGGGAAAATCGCACGTACAAGGGCCAGCGCAAGCGGCCGCGCCTCGACAAAGAGCCCATCATTACCAATTCCAGTAACAAGACCTCCTCCGAAACCTCCAGCGATATCAAGGACGACAAGGAGAAGGGTAAGCACGGGCGACAGTTGCTCCTGGAGATTGACTGAAGCTTAATTTGTCTTAGTTGGATGTTAGACGGGGTCAATTCCACCCGCTTGTGTGGAACATGCAGGGAAAATTCTTTTATGCTATCTTTTTGTTTGCCTTCAGATGGGCTTTAAACCCATTTTCAAAAGTTCTCTGTTTGTATTTCTTTGAGATATGTTTCACTTTTGTCAAATAACTTTGTAAAAATGCATTTGAGCTGCGTTTCACACTTTTCGCTTAATCCATTCCTGGTGGAAATCGATGTGGATTTGTGTCCAAGAATCTTTGTGTTTTACACTTTTTAAAAAACTAACCTCACTTTAGTTCGATCGGTTTCAAAGAAATAGAATTAAATACTTGTCTAAGCGAAATATGAAAATCCACCTGCAGCTGTGGAAAAGAGGTGAAAACGGTTTACAATCTGCGGCAAACTCATGTTCAAGGATCTTTATAAACTTATCTCTTTGCGATGAGTTTCACACTTCCCAAAATCCATCACTTGGGATCTATATGCGGATCAAAGGTTGTCTAAACGATATTGGTAAATCCACCCACAATCGTGGATAATAGGTGAAACGGTTTACAATCCGCCACTCATTTTCAAAGATCTGTATAAGTAAAATGCATTTGAAATGAGTTTCACACTTGGCAAAAGGTTGGATGAAAGGTTGAACTGGCGAAGTTGCTGGTTCAAACTCATTTGCAAATGTCTTCTAGCTTTCAAGCAAGCGACAGACATGGACAGCAAATGTTGCTGCCAACTTTTGCAGCTCAATTCGAAGGATTTCAAAGCAATTTTCAAACATATTAAAACAAACTAAATATGAGGAAAACCAGAAGCAAAAACCTAGCCCTGGCAAAGCCGGGCAAACCCTAGTAATCCCTAATTAAATGCATTTCTTTTCCCCTTGCAGCCGATGGCGTCGATGGCGAGGAGACGCCCACTGCCAACAACAACACCAATAGCAGCAACAGCAGCAGCAGCAACAACAACAACAACAACAGCAACAGCAACAACAAAGGGGACAACGATGCGAGCACAAACGCGGGCGGCGCCTCGTCGGCGTCGAAGGGCGCCAAGGAGAACAACATATGACGTGGCGGCCGCAATTGGTTATAGAAGCCAATTAAGCGACCGCCCAAATACAAGCCGCCGGACTTTACCTAGCGCCCAGCTAATCCCGATCCCCGAGCCCCCCTCGTCCTTTAGTTTAAGCCGTTTGCCAAGATCCACGCTGGGAGCGGAGCGAACTCCAGGCAAAAGCAAAACTAAACTAAACGGAAAACCAAGAAAAACTCAAATTAAAATAATATACAATCTATTGTAAGGCAACTTTCTTCGTGTTTAAGCTAAGCAGCAGATACTTTTACAATTAAAAAACAAACAAAACAAAACAAAACAAAATCGAAGCAGATACAGCTACACATAAACATAAAGATAAATATACAGATACAGATAATTACCACATAAGCAAGATCCATTTTTTGGCGATTCTTGCAACTTTTAATCAATAAAACAATTTTTAAATATTACTTTTGTCAAACTTTTCAATCGTATCTAAGATAAATCTAAGATAAAATATAAAATCAGATCGAATCAGGCCGTATATATAGATTATAGATTATAGAATGTTTATACCTCTTGGGCAAATGTGTTTAGTCAGAGATAATTGATATGGAAATAGAGTACAAATAGGTAATATATATTATATTATAATTGTACTTTAGATTAATCAGAGATCAGATCAGTATATATGTCATATGTAGAACCTTTTATGTAATCAGATCGTATTATGTGTGTATAGCATAGGTTATATTTACCTGAATACAGAATCTCTTGGGTATATGTGTTTAGTCAGAGATCGAAGATATACGCCTATATCTATTATTATATACTCCTATAGATTATTATTATAGAGAATATGGAGAGTTTTATGTAAGATTAAACAGAGATCAGATCAAAATATGGAAATAGAGTATAGATAGAGTTTTAATGCTTTTGTAGAGGGTATTATAGGAGTTTATAAGATTAGTCAGAGATCAGATCAACATATTTCATATAAAGAACCTTTTATGTATTCCCAAGAATCAGATTTAATCAACAAGTTTCATGTGTATATAGCTTATACTTAAAGAATGTTTATAGACTTGCCTGGATTTAAGATCTTTTGGATATATGTGTACCAAGAGATCATAGATATGTGAATAGAGTATTATAGAGAATATAAAGATTACCAAATTAGGTTTTTACGCTCTTGTAGAGAGTATTTTAATTGTACATAAGAATAATTAAGAGTCAGGGCAACATCTACATATATAAAATCAGATCTAATTATCCCGTGTCATGTGTATATAGCATATAGTTATAGAATGTTTACCTACTTACCTGGATATAAAATCTCTTGGGTATATGTGTTTAATCAAAGATATAGTGGATTATTATAGGTATCAATGAATTCCAGGCTTTTATGCACTTGTAGAGGGTATTATATTATAATATCGCCTATTAGAAGACATTTCTGATCCCATATAGTATATATATATTCTTGATCATTATTGAGCTTTGTCCATTTCTCTGTTTCTATGCACACTTTTCTTTCAGTTTTAACACTTCCTATATGAATATTCTCTTCGGTTTCCTATATTATAAAGCTTTCTCAGTTACGATCTGTTGAAAATTCAGTTATTGCATTAAAAGCTTTTTGATTTCTACGATATCTTAACTAAACTTGACATTTTCTAGTATTACAATATTTCCTATATATAAACTCTATCAATATCGGACCACTTCTCATATAGTTCTATGAGAAGAATAGGTCGAAAATTGAGTATTTGCATGGCAACATTTTCTGTTTTTCAAGATAAGAGCTTTATAATGTTTGTCTTATATCTGCAAAGTCGTAAAACTTATGTCTAGAAGGGTATTCAAAGTGCGGCGTGCCGCAGATAGCTATTCATCCTGCATTTCTAATTGGAAAGGCAACATTTGTTAACATTTTAACTATTGCAGAGAATACTTTAGGGGCTCCATTTATATTTTTGGGAAATTTTTAATTATAAAGATTTAATTATTATTCCAATTATTTCGATTTCTAATAGATTTCTTTTTAGAAATTTTCTTGATTTTTTTTAAAAAAAAATTTCAAATAGTAAAATTTGTGTAATCCATAAATTCTTATTAAATATATTATAATTAAGATTCCTTTTTTTTTTAATTTTTTATTCAAATTTTAATTAAGCCATAAATTCCAATTAGATAGATCCCCTCTTTTTAATGTTTTCTTTTATTTTTTAGGAAATCTTAAAATTTAGATTTGGGTATTCCAAAAAATCCTGTGAAACACAATATATTTTATATTATTTTTTATTTCAACTAATTATTTGCTTAACATGGTTTTTTTAAAGTAAATTATAACACATATTCCAGTTAGACAATATGGAGTGTTCTTCTTATTTGAAATTCCGTCCATATCCAATTGGAAAAGTAGTCGGCGCTCTTTGAGATTAGAATGTTCCAATTAGTTACATTTGCGCGTTCTTATTTGATATTTTACGACATGTCCAATTGGAAATGTGCGTTTGAGTTTTCCAACTCGTTTTTTTTTGAGTGTTCTTTGATATTTTCTTTATTTGAAAAGGAACTTTTACAATTTGTTCAACATTAACTAACTAAAATTCCAAACTAGCTAAGTTAAGGTCAAGCGGGCCGCACCTAAAAGCCAAATCCCTTGTCAGACAAGGAGGGGGGAGGCGTGGCAGGGCTGGCAGGGCGCACTTGATGAGAGTTTTGTGAGTAGCCTCCAGTCTGCCGGCTCAGGCGCTAATCCAGCGATAATATCGAGTCGATGCTGTTGCGATTGCTGCGCGCCTGCAGACGCGGTCCGCCCAAGTAACTAATTGGATTCGCGAACTGGCGCTGCAGCAGCGCATTCTCCAGATACATGGGCGAGGGCGCGGGCGGAGGCGGAGGCGGGCGTGGGCCAAATGCAGCGGACTTTGTTGTTGTTGCGGCGCTGACATCAAAGGGATGCTCGGTGTCGTCGTGTGCTTTGTGGCGGGATTTGCGTCGTTGCGGCTGCGATAGATTGTTGGGTGTTGGGCACCGGTTAAGGGGGGGGGGGGGGGGTTGGTGTTCGGGTTTAGATCAAATAATTTAGGGTTTAATTCTATTTGGCTATAGTCAAAGCATGAATGGAAATGGACGAGGCGTAAGTGTGACCAGAGAGAGAAGAAGAGAGATAAAGTTTTAAAATTCAACCGAAATGCGCAATTTTTCTCCAAATATTTTCGTGTGTGCTGTGCTGTGCAATGGGCGTGGCAGTAATACGCTTGCAATGGATGATATGCGAAAAGTTTTGCCAACAATAACTCAACACCTGACGTGACTTTACACATTTCGAGGCCAGAACATAATACGCACGAGTGCGTGAGTGAGAGAAAGTGAGAGAGAGAGAGAGCGAGTGTGGGTCTGTGGAAGAGTTGAGCAGCGTTGCCAGCTGGCGCATCAAAAATGGAGCTAAGTCCTATGTTAAGCATATCTATTACCAATAAGGCTTTGTGGTATTTGAAAATTAAAATTCCAAAAAATAGCTAAATTACTAGAAATAGAAAATAGCTTTATTGGCAGCAGAAGTTAGGCGCAACATGACAAAAATTAAGTAACATTTTCGCAAACGAACTTTAAACATGCTGCTGTTAAGTGTACAGCGCAAGCGATCGTAACAAGCAAGGCTTACAGGACTTAACAGCGTAAGTCGACTGTTACAGCACAAATCGATAACAGCTAGCCGATTAATGCTGTTACATACGACCTTAAAGTTATTCATTATGGCGGCTAAAAATGGAGAAGCGCGCGCGTCTTAATGGAAAAAATCCTGCGTGTGCGTAAAATTAAATTGTAAAACGCGTGTGTTCTGTGCTTTTTTTTTGTGTGTTGTGTTTAGTGTATAGTCCAGGCGTGTGCGCCTGTTAAAGTTATTCATTTGGCCGGTTAAAAATGGATAAGCGCGCGCGCCTTATTGGAAAAATCCCTGCGAGTGCGTATAATTAAAATGTAAAACGCGTGTGTTCTGTGCTTTTTTTTTGTGTGAGGTGTTTTTTTTTTTTTGTAGTGTTAGTGTATAGTGTATTAGAGTGTGTGCTAGCGTGGTCTAAAAAACCACTTTGCTGCGCATTAAATTTGTGCCGCGCTGCACTTGAGCCGTGGCGCTTTGTGTGTTTCGGCAACAATGGCGGCACCCCCTGCACCCCTGACCCAGCAGGTGCGGGCGCAACCGTCAGCCACTTCACAGCTGGCCACACATGCTGCTCCCCCCCCCCCCCTGTCGACATCAAATCAACTACACACAATGGACGCAGCAGCAGCCAAGTGCAAACGTGTCGGCCAAAAGGCAGCAGCACATTTGCATGCACATATACATACATACATACGTTTAATATGTGCATGTTTGTGCGAGTGTGTGTGTGTTCACGCGTCAGCATCAGCGCAGCGCAAGAAACAACAGCATAAAGAATGGGGTAAGTAAAGTCACAGTTAAAATTCGATTGTTCATTTTTACATACATACATCTGTGCATGTTAATATACACATGTTGATATACATATACAATTACATTTATCTTCATATTTACTCCTTGACTGACCTTCGCTTGGCATATGCGTATGCATATGCATAGGCGCACGCTTGCGGTTCTTCGAACGGTAATCGCAATTCTTCTTATGCCTCGCTTCGCACTGCGCGTCTTTTGAGCAATTAGAACATATTTAAAGCATACATACATATATACACATGTGCATACATACGTATATGTGTTTCTTATGCATATCAGAAGTACACAGACTTCATACATGTATACATATGTGCATACAAACATGTTTGTATGTGTTTCTTATGCATTTCACAATTACACAGTGAAAATTAAAAGTATATTTAAGCATTGAGAACTATTTGAACATATGGGCAATTACAGGGGCACGCCCTGATGCTCTTATATCTTTATTATGATGTTAAATAATGTATAAAAACTAATAATTTTTTTTAAATTTGTAACAAAAATTATAGCAAATTTTTTTAAGTGCACGATTGGGCTTAAGATATTAATTAACACATAAAGAAACGTTATGTGACACAAATTTATTTGGTTTTCATGTAAACCTTCGAGCATTACATGAGCTTCTGTGAACAGTTACTTTTTATTTTTAAATTTAACTCCTATATTATTTCATGCGTTGCGTAACGCAATTGCTTATAATATTTCGCTCGAAATTTGCTTCAATTTAATTGGTAATCGGATATGGGAAGTCGTATATGTATGTATGTATACACACACGCCATAAAAAAGGGATTTTCCTGTGCTTTAAATATCCCAAAAATAAACGAATGATATTTATATCGGATTTTTTTCTATTAGACTCTGCCAAGGCATCATCAAGGCGAGTCGAGAACTTGTTCCTGAGACCATTTTCTTCCCTCTCTGCTCAATTCCCCCCGATTTTGCTTAATATATAGAGTTTTGAGGTTTTGTTTATACTAC